CACACACACACAACCTCTTCATCCCCTGCCTTCATGAAAGGACTGGGTGGCAGAGCCCCCCTCCCTCCCATTGGATGGCGGACCCCTGGAGGAAGACTTCCAAGCCAGCCGCCAATCCACTGAAGCCACCCAGCCCGGCTATATACTGTTCCTGGATGCCACTCTCCCCCCCCACTCCCCAGTGCAGGCTTTGCTTACTAAGCAAGACCCCCTCAAGGGTCCCCCAGCCCGCTTCCGGGTTATTCTTTCAACCACCCGAGAGAGAGACCATCAGGCCCCGGGAGATGGCCTGTCCCAAGTAATTCCTCACCCACAAGAGGCGGTTTTGGGGGGTCTGAAAGAGGATGAGAGCGGCAAAGGAGGGGAGGGGGAGCCTGCTTCCGGCACCCATATCTCATCAGGGGGAGGGGCCGCCTGGGAGCACCCCAGATGTTGGGGGGCTCTCCGCACAGGAGACCAGCAGAGCAAAGGGGTGGACAAGCTGGCCTGCTCTCGGTCCCCCCCACCTGGGTGGAATTCAGGAGGAAGCAGAGGGCCGGCCGGCCCACCCTCCCCCCTTCGAAGGCAGCCCTGCCCCCCACCCTACTTGTAGGTCCAGCAGGCGGTGGCCCAGCCCTGCCCCTTGCAGAGCTCCTTGTGCTTCAGGAAGCAGCTCTGGACGCGGAACTTGCGCCCGCAGTCCTCGCAGGCGTGCAGGCTGCCCTCGTGGGTCTTCATGTGCTCCGTCAGGTGGTGCTTCAGCTTGAACTTCTTGTTGCAGACGGAGCAGCCGAAGGGCCGCAGGCTGAAGGTCAGCATGATGTGCCGGTCCCGCTTGGGCTTGACGGCGAAGCGCTTCCCGCACAGGCAGCCGAACTTCTTCCCGTCGGGCGCGGACATCAGCTTGACGGGCGCGTGCACCACCTGGCCGTGCACGGCCTGGGCAAGGATTTCGTTGCCGTGCAGGTCCACGGGCTTCCACGAGCTCTCGGGGAAAGCCGCCACGGAGTCTGCGGGGAGGGGCTGGGGCTTCCCGGCCAAGGAGCCCGGGGCCGTGGACGAGGAGGCCCCGCCGGGCAGGAGGTAGCCGAGCTCCCCAGCGGCCTGGATCTCCGCCTGGCAGAGGCCCGGCACCTCCGAGGCGCCCAGGGATTTCAGGAAGGCGGCCTCCGAGCGGTAGGAAGCCGGGCTGCCCCCCAGCGCAGAGGGAGGGGCCTCCTCCTCCGGGTCAAAGCGCTCCTGCTTGATGTAGAAGACTTTGGGGGGCTCTCGGGGCAAAGCGAAGGCCGGGCCCGGCTCCCTGGACCCCTGGCCAGGACGGTCTCTGCCCCTGCGGCCTTCCTCCTCCTCCTCCTCCTCCTCCTCCTCGTCCAAGACCACTTTCATGGAGCCACTGCAGATCTGGGCCTGCCGGTGCTCTTCCTCCTCTTCTTCCTCTTCCTCCTCCTCCTCCTCTTCCTCGTCTTCCTGGGCGACCCGGATCTTCACCACCTCCTCGCCCAGGTCCTCGAGCTGCGGGCGGCAGGGCCGGCGGGGTCCCCGGGCGCCCCTCGCGGCCCCTCCGTCCTCCCGGAGGCCCGGGTGGCGGCCGGCGCCGCCGCTGCTGCTGCTGGGGCTCTCGGCCGTGCGGGCGGCCCAGGGGCGGCGGGAGAGCGGCCCGCCGGCCCCCTCCAGCTCCCGGAGGACGCCCGAGCACTGGTCCACCACCTGCCACATCTGCAGCCCGCTGGCCGCCAGCAGGTGGCCGGGCAGGGCGTCGAGCAGCAGCCGGAGGCGGCCCGAGTAGATGAGCTGCAGGAGGTTCTCGAAGGCGTCGGGCGCGATGACCGCCGGCAGGACGAGGCGGCCCGTGTCGCGCAGCAGCAGCTTGTCGTGGAAGTAGGGCGAGGCGGCGGCCAGGACGCTCTTGTGCGCCTGGAAGACGCGGCCCTGCACGTGCACGGCCAGGTCGCAGAACTTGCCCTCCAGCCGGTGCCGGTTCAGCGACTCCAGCAGCCCCGCCGCGTAGTGCGGGAACTCGATCTGCACGCTGCGCGCCCCGTCGGGCTGCTCCATGGCCGGGCAGCGCAGGCAGCGCCCCCGGGGGAGGGAGGGAGGGAGGGAGGGGGCGCTCTGCACACGCTCAGGGGGCTGCCGGCGGCGGGCGCCCTCCCTCCGCAGCGCGCACCGAGATCAGGCGAGCCCCGCACTCCCCACGGGAGCGGAGCCGTCCTCCGCAAATGCGCAGGAAAGGAGACGGACACGCTCGAGATTTCCCCCCCCCTCCAACTCCTGGGCAGGAACCGCAGCCACCGCCGTTGGACGACTCGTCCCGCCCCCCTCGAGCGCCTCGCCCAATTAGGAGCCGGAAAGAGGCCGCTGCCCGACCTCCCGCTCCTTTCCAGACCAATCAAGAGAGCGCCCGGGGAGAGGGAGGGGAAGCATCGAACGGTTTTGTCCGCCCCTTGGCGTCACCAGGGTCAGAGGCCGGGAGGCGGTGCTGACGGCCTGACCCGGATGTCGATCTGCTGGCCGATTGGCTGTGCGCCCAGAAACTATGTTTATATATATGTATTTTTTGCAGGTCCCCCCCGCCCAGTCCCACGATAAAGAGGGGGCGGGCCTTCCCCCGATTGGCTGAGCGCGGGGCGGGCGTGGCCGCGCGGAGGGCTGTCAGCCACGCGGTCCTCTCGCGTCTCGCGGCTTCTGTCCGGCCGACCCGCGTCTGTCCCCGGCTGCGTCCACACGACTCCTCCGCCGCCGCCCCCCCCCCGTCCCACCTCCCGGGCCCGGAGCGAGAGACGTGGCGTAAAAGACCAACTGCTTTTATTAAACATTTTCTTCTGTTGTCACCACACACTCCAGGAAGGAAAAGGAGAAAAAAAAA